ATTTGTGTATGCAAATGAGGGGCTCAGATGGCACACAGCAGTGGCTACCAGGCGACCTCTTCTGCCAACATTAAAAGGGCACCATGGTCAATATGTGTGTCAGCCTTCCTGATGGCTCCCCAGCATGATGGCTACCATGAGGTTAAATGCCATCATTATGTGTGCCAAGCCAGGTCCCAGCCACCCACAAACATCCTCAGGTCCAGTGCCCACACAGCTAGAAGTGCCCACCTTTCGTGATGTGGGTCACAAGGCCTGCACTATGGAGGGAACAGCCATCTGTGTGGATGTGTGGTTCCTCCCACCCACCCCCTCATTTGCAGAAATTACAGGCTGACCAATTGCCAGCTTGTGCAACTGGCACATGCCTGAAGCATCTCAAAAGGAAGAAATTCCTAGCTCTGAAGACACTGATGCCCCTTCACTTTTTCAGGGGACCAAACCATTATGAAAAACAGAATGGGTGACAAGGGGAACTCCCCATGGCCACAGTCATGGGTAGGGTTGCCAAGTCCATCTTCCACCCCCAGCGGGGGACTTTGGGGGCGTTCCTGGAGGGGGCTGGGCATCCTCAATGTAATGACGTCACGTTAGAGACGTCCGCCGCCCCCCCTCCCGCGCGCGCCGGATCTCCAGAAACGGCAGTTCCCTGCCCTTAAAGGAGCCGGTGTTTCCCCTTTAACAGCAGGAGCCGGCGTTTCCCCTTTAACAGCAGCTGCGTTTCCCTTTTAAATGCATGAAGCTGGCATTTCCATGCGAGCCTGATCTCAAGCGGAGGCTTGGGAGGAAACACGGGTTCCACACACTTAAACGGAGAGAGAGGGGTGGCTGTGGGTGTTGGGGGTGGGGCTTCCCCTGCTGGCCATCTGGCCAGCGGTGGGTAGAACTCCCCCCAAAATGGGGGACCCCTGGCAAACCGGGGGGGGGGGGTTGGCAATCGGGGGGGGGGGTTGGCAACCCTAGTCATGGGGGACTGAGGGGCTCAGTGCAGTGCAAAACCATCTGTGTGCCGTCAACAGTCCCTTTGGAGGCCAGAGGCTCTGAGGGCTGAAGCAGATGGCCATGGAAATTCCATCATAGTCCCAAGCAAGCCCTAAACCTGGCCACCTGTGGCTTTTCGAATGCAGCTTCTCAGAGGAGGGGAGGACTCTGGCCCCTGGCTGGGAGTCCAGGTACGGGCCCCACATCTGACATAGCCCATTCTGGTGCAGCTGGAAAGCAGTTGTGAGTGGCAGTAACCCCCTTTTCCGGGGGGCACCAATGGATGAACGGGCTGGCAGCATTTGTAATGGCAGCTGCTGGGCACCTGGAGGGCTCCTTGCCATTGCGGGTGAGGGACAGGGGCACATCAAGAGGCTGCTGGGTGACCTCTCTAAGTCTCTCCAGGCCTTGCAGCACCCCTCACCTCTCCGCCTGATATGCCTTCAGTGGGGGGTGGCATGCAGGTTGGCATGAGGATGCCCTCAATGGTATGGACACCTGACTGGCTGCCCTGGCTGGTGGTGAGCAGGGGGTGCCCTCATGTCTTTTTTATTTTATTGTTACGGCACCTAGCCAGCAATATAAAACCATAGAAATACAAATAAACTAGAATGGCCTAATGCCCTCATGTCCATTTTCTTGCCCATCATCAAGCTCTGGGGCCCTGTGCTCTCTCTGTGTGGAGCGTCCTTGCATCCACATTTTTGTCCATTGTCACCCTTGGGGCCCTGTGCATTCTGTTTGTGGACAGCCACCTTGGGGCGCCTGCAAGGCTGGTGGGTGATGCCCCCCCCCGACAGGTGACCAGGGCTTGTGATGGGTTTTGGTCTCTTTAAGAGGAGCTGTATGGCAGAGGAGGAGCATCACTTCTGTGGCCCACCCCTCTCTGCTCCCTGCCAGTGATGGACACTTGGCTCAGCCTCCTGGACTCCTGGCTCCCATTGGTCCTGCCTGCTCTGTCTATCATGCCATCCCTGCCTCACAACAAAGCCAAAATGGAACACTGTGGTAGGATCACCATGGATGCCACTGTGGCAGTGCCTGGCAACACTGCTGGGGCACCTTTCCCCCCATTTGGCCATTGTGTACCTATCCCCTTGGGGGGCAACTAGCAGCACCACAACTGTGCCATGGCCAGATACCACAGCACAGGAGCAACTCAGGATTCTCTGCCCCTCACCTAAACAGAATCAAGAGGCAAAAGAAATAGTTCTATGTCATCCAACAATAGCGGAATACTAGCAGAAAGTCTGATCTGCATTCTGGGCAGTACTGATGCTTTTCTAACAGTGCAATTAGAGAAAATCTCCAGATATAATTCAACTTAAATTTATCATATCTTCTGGAAGACTCTGAGAAACTTAGATCACCCTAAATAAAAAAATATCAATGTTTAATGTCACATTTTTCATGGTTGGAGCCATACTAGAAAACTATACAATTGAAAACTACAATTACAAATAATCTCTGTTAGCTTTTTGTAACCAGGCATTTGAGTTGAGGAAACTGTCCCTGGAATGTCCAATAAGACAGATTTTTTGCAATCTTGACTCAGTTAAATGCAACAGCTTTGTCCAGGCTAGGTACTTTTGCTTTAAGAGGTAGAACTTCTGTTTCTGATCTCAAAAGTACAAGTGAATGTATTTTTTTATTGTTTTAATGTTGCAAAAGAAGGATGATTTGATGTATCTCTACACCTGTGAGGGGGCGGCAGCTTTCCCATGTACCAGACATTCTGAGAAATGTATGTAGCTTTCCAAGGGAGTTCATTTTAGCTGAGTAAGCTTCTCCCTTCACTGATCAGTATATAAATGGGAGGCAGTTTAAAGGCTAGGGACACAGCCCATTACAAATGAAAAAGAAAAGCATCTCAAAATAAGGTAAGATGTTTCTATGATCTTTTTCATAGTACATTGTTGTTCAGTACTTCATCCTAAACAAATTATATATCAATTTGATATTCCAAATACAACAGAGCTATAGCTGATATATGAGTCTTACTGATTGTACGGATGGGAGAATATCTAGAACAAATGTTAAAACCTAATTTATTTTTCAGTTCAGGAGTAATTTTCTATGAAAAAAAAATTAACTTGTGCCTATTCTTTTGTATATTTCTGTATAAAATTGTATATAAAAGTTGTGGGATACACTGAAGTCTAATGACACCTTAAAACCACTAATAAAATGTCTTCCAGCATAAGCTTTTGTCAATCACTTCACCAGATGCATGGAGTGTCTATTCATAGCAGCTATATTTATATTAAAAGGTATTTTTAGTATAACTATGTGAAGGAAGGTGACATGGTATAGCCTGATTTAATCAGATCTCAGAAGCTAAGCGAGGTTGGTACTTGGATGGGAGAGCACTAAGGAAGACTCTGCAGATGAAGGCAATGGCAAACCACCTCTGCTTCTCATTTGCCTTGAAAGCTCTTACTAAGGTCTTACTAAGGTCACCCTAAGTATGTTATAACTTGATGGCACATGTGTATGTTAAATATAGATATAGCCGCTATGGATGGACACTCCATGCATCTGATAAAGTGAACTTTGCTTCACCAACATTTATAGTGGAATAAATTTTGTTAGTCTCCTAAAATGCAATTGTACTCATGTTTAACGTCATCGTAACGGCATAACTCAGTTACCCCTCTGTAACTGCTGGATGCATAGATCCTTTAAGTGCATTGCAAAATCTTATCCATCCGATTTCTTTTGCTCACAGTCCTCAAGCTGCTAGCTTACATATCAGCTTCTTGGGATTTACTGGTAACAATGGCTCTGCACACTATGTGTCTGTCATGACTTGTGACCATGAGTACACTAGTATATATCTATGCGGTTGTGAGCCCTGATTAGGCCCCATCTCCTTTAGGTGTTTGCAAAGGTATTCAAACATATCTATCCATCATTCATGCCTTATAAGCTTTCTGCAGGAAATCCTACTAAAATGTATTCACAACGAAGACAATTGCCTGGTAAAGCACGGACTTTAGCCAAAGACTTTAGCCAAAATTTTGTTAGAAAAGGGGGGGGGGTTGATATAAGGCTCAAGCCACTGACTTACAGCTAAAGCTAAAGGTTTCTCTTGCTTGAAAGCTAGTCGAATTACAGCTACTGTCCTATTAATTACAGTGGGATCCTTGTTAAATAAATTATATCAGCACTGGCATGTTACACTGCACTTCTATGTTCATCCAGTAGCTTCTGATGTGTGCAAAAGATTCAGTGCACACACCAACAAAAACTACTCACTTAATCTATATGCTTTACTAGACTGAGATGCCCTCAGAAGGAATTGTGTGTGTTTAACATGGACTCTGTAGTCCTGCATCATTGCCTCTCTTTTTCAGGTGTTTCACACTGTTTTTTAAATGTTTCCTTTATGACTTTCTTCTTTAAGTTTTCTCTTATCTGCCTTTTCTTATTTGACAACTGTACATAATTTGTTGAGTTGGGTAATTTTTTTAAAAAAGAATTATACATAAACATAGATTTAGGCACACACAAACACATGCACACTGGTGGGTGCCCTTACATAGACGATACCTTTGATGTACAGCAAAAGGTGGTGAGGGGGATTTTATTTCTATGTGGTTCAGAAGCAGTTGAAAGTGTTTGGAGTCAGAAAAACATGAAAAAATTGAGAGGCCTATTAACAGATGTGGGCAAATGCTTTGAAGTGCTCAAGGTCAGCATTATTTTAAACAAACAAAAGGAAATGTCTTTTTCCATAATGGAAGAGAAATGGCAAGGCAGTATGTCTAAATAATGTAAGATGCAACTTGTAAAATCTTGAGTTGCACCTGCTGGAGTAGAATAGCGGCCAGTGAACAAGCTATTTGCAATACTCATAGGTTGAAATTGCCCGCAAAAGGAAGTCTCTATGTACATGAGCCTCAGTGTTCACAGCATCTTGCATTAAAATCACAAAACCAGCATTTCCCAGTGCAAGCTAAGGCTGATTCAGATGTTTTATTTCTCACTAATAGCTCTACTAGCTGGATAATGAAGGTTTTCTACCCAGTGCTAAAATGGAGAGTAGCTGTGTCTCCTCTGTCCTGCACACAATCTTTCTGCTGTGTTTGATGCCCATCAGCAGCCTCAAACAGCTCCATTTTGGGCACTGTGTGGTCTCTATGGATATGTATGAAATACGAAAGGGCTTTGGAGAAATCAAGGAAATGACTGTGAGTATGGGGGTAGTCTTAAATTGGGAAGGGCAGCTCTAAAACTAAATAAAACTGAATTATTCAAGAGGGCTTTTCTATGCAGGTAATAGACTTGCACTATACTAAGTGATTCATGTTACTTAGAAATATTATTAGGGACTGTGGTCTATACTACTGTGTATAGCTTGCTGAAACTAGGATCTTACTATGTTTTGCTTCAGTTGTTTTTATTTATTTATTTATTTATTATTACATTTATACCCCGCCCTTCCCCATGGGGCTCAGGGCGACTTACAAGGCAAGAAAAAACACTTGCTAATAAAACATCAATACCATAGTACAATTAAAACATCATGTACAATTTAAAACATTAAAGTGCTCAAAAACTAAATTCATATCGGAATCTCAGAATCTCAGAGTCTCAGAGAGGGCAACCCCCGCCCTAGCACAGCCCAAAACATTTCCAGTAGGCATTGATAATATTTTAGATGTTACCAGATGTTTCTACCTGGCCTCCTGAGCCCTAGTCCCCCCCAAAGATGGTATATATCGGGGGGGGGGCAGTGGCGGCCCCTAATCGAAAGCCTGGTGGAAGAGCTCCGTCTTGCAGGCCCTGCAGAACTGCACCAGGTCCCGCAGGGCCCGGATCTCCTCCGGGAGCTCGTTCCACCAGGTGGGGGCCGCCACTGAGAAGGCCCTAGCCCTTGTGACGGCCAGTTTAGCGTCCTTGGGGCCCGGCATAGTTAGAAGATTCTGGGCCCCAGACCATAGCGCTCTTGGGGGAACATACGGGGAAAGGCGGTCCCTCAGGTAGGCTGGACCCAGGCCATATAGGGCTTTATAGGTCCCTCATATAGGGCTTTATAGGTCCCTCAGGTAGGCGGTCCCTCAGGTAGGCTGGACCCAGGCCATATAGGGCTTTAGACTTCTGTTTGGTTCTATGACCCTAATCCTACTGCATTATTTATTATATGTCCCATCTGTCAATTGTATTAACTCTGTGTAATCTGCCTTGATTAGCTGGTTAGAATTGTAGAGGAGTGGAATGCTCAGTCTAGGTAATAAATTTGGAGACCTTCATTTTCATCAGGGCTTTTTTGTATTTTTCTTCCCCAGCAGGCTCAAGACCAGTACACAAGCATTAGACTTCTACACAGATCATATTCTCTTCAAGACACCAAGGTATCTCTCCGGTATCAGTCAGTGTACAAAACTAACATTTGGGAAGTGGAACACATGACAGATTTCCACTTAAACTTTTTAACTTCATCTCATACTTGTTACACTGTAACCAGAGCTATCAAGCTGATCTGTAATCTAGAGCAATAAGAAATTTGTGCTTGTCCTGGGTAAGGCTCCAAAGTGAAATTGCTCTCCAATATTCTCTTCTGTGAATGTTGGTACTGACTATTCATCTAATACCTCTGATTATTTGATATGGGGATTTGCCATCCACAAGGTGCAATGGGAGGGAAAATGAGCAAGTCAGATCCTTTAGATACATGGGTGTTTTGTTTCACTATAATTTAAAATGGTCTCCCCATTGGGACCAATTGTTCCAACTGGCTAAAAACAGGATTTCGGCTGTTACTCATTTTTATTATCAACAAGGAAATCAGTTTGTTCCGGCCACCCTTCAAATTTTCCAAGCTACGGTAGTCCCTCGTTTACTATACGGAATTCCTGTATGGATTCAGAGTTTTAACAAAGAGATTGATCGAATCTATGCAAACGTTTTACAACATATTCTTGGATTACCTAACTCTGTTACCCATTATTCCCTCTGTGCTGAGCTGAGTCTCCATCTCTTAGACTCGAGGGCATGGATCACCACTATTAAATATTGGCTTCACATCCATTTTAGTGCCCCTCAGAATAGCCTTATTGACTATGGATTCATATGTATCCAAGTGGTCACAGGCTTGAAAAATCAAGATGAGAATTTTATATACCAAATAATCTGTAGAAGAATTTGGGACATCGAAGCACAAACAATCCAGGCCGGTGCCGGTGGTACTTGTTCCCCCCTTTCCCTCGGCCTCAGATATGTACCAAATTGTATGGCACAATACTTCTCTAACTTGGTGATCCCGCTGCAACACAGAGCCTTTATGCTAGCCAGATTTAATGTTTTTCCCTCATCTTGGGTTTCAGGTAGATATAGAGGTATTTCAAAATGTGACAGAATCTCTAATTGCTCATCTGGAGAACCTAATACTTTAGATCATATTCTATTATGCTGCCCCCTTCATTCATATCTCCAATTACTTTGGATTAAGCCCTTACTGTCTAGGATTAACTCTGACAACGCAATTAGGTACCTTCTAGCTGATAAATCACCAGAAGTTACTACACAGACTGCTGAATTCTTGTCCAAGATTTTGGCAGCAAGGAACCATTTTTAATACTGACATGTTTTAAGATTTGCAGTTGTAATGTTACCTTATTGATGAAGTTTTATTTCATTGTTTTATAAGCCAATAAAGGTGTTTTGTGTGTATATGTGTGTGTGTGTGAGATTTGCCATCCAAATATATTTGGTTTCAGTATTTGATATTTAACAGATCATACATGGCAATATTTGGTAGCTGGCATATTCTATTTAGTATTTTGGAGGAGATGATGTGCCATGATATTTAATAACTGACAGTTGATTACTATGATATTTCATATGTAACATGAAAAATCCACAGCAGTCAAAAGATGCCAGTAAATTTAAGGCTGCAGTCCTATGGGATTAAACCTGACTGAACTCAGTAGGATTTACTATTGAAGAAACAGGCATAAGGCTTGGCTGCTTAGCATTCAAATTCCATGTGAAAAATTGAAATTTAAACATTTTTAAAGAAAAATTACAGTAGAATTCAATCTAACTAATAATGGGCTGTATTTCCCATTCTAACAAGATGCCTTCTGATTCATTTTAGACTGAAGACAGGTGTTGTTTCTTTCATTACTTATTGAAATTCTATCTGGCAAATGTCTTCAATCAATGCCAAGCAAACAGCAACTTTCATCAAAGGAGAGTCAGCCGAATTGCCAACAACTTCCTCAGCATCAAGAAGGAGCTGACTCTCTGTGTGAGTTACAGCAACGGGAAATCATTTGCAAGCCTATAGTCTGTAACATGACTGTACATATGAATGGAACATATGAAATTGTAGTACACTGAATTAGATCACTGGTCCACTGGCACAGTATATTGCCTCTTTTTACTGGCAGGTGCTCTCCAGGGCCTCAGGCAGAGAAAGATCTTGTTCTGTACCTACTCTTAAAATTATTTAACAAGAGTGCCTGGAACTAAATTGGCCACTCTGCTGAAGTTATCTGAATATTGATAGTGACTTTGGTTCTGATTAATGAGGTATTGGTGCATGTTATCTTTCGGTGTGTTTGATGTCTAATAGATGGATATGCTTGGCTGGATTATTCTAGAATAACTGTCTGGATTTGTTTCAGAGGGTAGTCATGTTGGTCTGCAGTAAAACAGTTAGATTTGAGCCCAATAGCACCTTTGAGACCCACAAGATTCTAGGCTATCAGATTCTCGAAAGATTAAACCGTGAAACTCATTTATTTATTTATTTATTTATTTATTTATTTATTGCAGTTTATATCCCTGCAAGTGGGCTCAGGGTAGCTCACATCATATCACAATACAGCAGCAGTGTAAAACATTAAATAGTCATTAAGAAGTAAAAACATTAAGTAATCCACACAGTAATCTGAGGTTCCTAACTGACAGTTTAGCAATTTATTACATACTAAAGTACGCTGCCTGAACTTGTTGGTCTCAAACATGCTACTGGAGTCGAATCTGTGTGGATATGGTTTCTGTTGTCCCTTTAAAACATATCCCTTTTTTCTCTAAAATATTCTATGACAATTGTTGTTCTGCACACTGAGATACAGCATTTCTGCTAGCTTTTAAATAAGCATCTTTTGTATTTTCAGTATTACTTTCTATTGCAAAAATTGTTATAGAAACCTTGAGAAGCAGTGTAACTATGAAACAGTAAAAATGACAATTGCAAACATTTGGAACCAGAGGGACATTTGGAACCAAAGGAGGCCAACAAATAAGTAGGAAAGGATGAGAGATATAATAACAAATTACTGGTTTGTCTACACAAATTCTTAATGAGCAGGAGGCCACAGGTGGGAAATGTAATGGTGCTGCACTGAATTACAATGGGTCTATGATGGTGGTGGGCCCCTACATTTCAGCTTTTAACATAATTTTAGACCTGTTTCCCTGATCTGTTCCTGTTTTGACACCAGTTTTATCTTAACATGAAAAAAATCCTCACTGAATGGTCTATGCCAGTGAGGGATCATGCAATGAACATGATGATGTCATGATATAATACAGCCAATCTGATTTGACCACATGATAATGACAGCATTCTGACGCTGAATGGGTGGGAAGGGAAGCCACGATCACCTTTGTCTAGGCAACCAAGCCAGTCCTCGGTGCCTTGCTGTGCTGTGCTGGCAGTTACATTTCCTGCCAGTGCTGCAGGGGTTTTTTCACATTCCAGATGTAGTTGCACAGAGCTATGCGTGATTCACTGGGGCAGAACGTAGATGGGGATATGCATCTAGATGTATGTTCCACTGAAGGTAATGCAGCATTCATGGTAGTGGATGATGTCTGCATTTGGATACACATCCAGTTATAGATACTGCATAGATTAAAACTCTGCATTCAAGCATGCATCCCATCCCGATATATACCCCTGTCCACATCCTGCCCCAGTTAGTTAATGATGTGAGACTGAATCAGGTTGAGAGAATACCAGCCCAGTTGTTTTATCAATGGGAGCATATTCTCCCTTCCTCTTCTTGTGGGAGATAAAATTGTTCATGAAACATCCCCTCCATGTTTGCTCAGAACTAAAATATACAATACTTTACCTGGGAAAAATAATTTGTTTGGCAATATCACTGCTACACAAGTTCCCAGATGTTCTCTCTGTGTCTCAGAATGATGTATTTTGTGCAATGGAAATTAGCATCAAAGCATGGTGAAACAAGTGTAGACAAAAGTCCTGAGCCAGAGAGCTGTGAGAGCAGGAGTGGTCAGTAAGCCCTCCACAGTATCAAAGATTTCCCCTTCTCTACTACTGCAGCCTCCCAGACATCATGCCTAGAATCTCAAACTATAAAATGGGCCTTACTGGGGGGGGGACTCTGAGTGCCTGACCCTTCAGAAGAGGAGCAGAGCAGCATGAATGTCACTCCAGTTGGTCTCAGTTCTTTACTCCCTTCCAGTCTGGACCAAGTGGCAATCTACAGACAATTTATTCTATTGGGCTTTTAGCCCATCCTACCTAGGGTTGCCAAATGCCCCTGGGGGGCGGATTTCCCCCCGCTTTCGAGCCCCGATTTCCGCTCCCGCGGAATCGGGGCCCGGGGGAAACCCCACCCCCGCGTGCACGTCACCCGGAAGTGATGTCGCACGCTGGGGGTGGGGCCACGCCATTTGAGGGGAAATGCGTGCACGCGCACACATTCCAGACGCCGGCTGGGAGCCCCCCGCTCCCGGCCAAAACATATTTGGCAACCCTAATCCTATCCCACAAGCAGGCTCAGGGCAGGGTACAACAATGATTAAATACAAATCACTCTCTAAAACAACCAGTCAATCATTAACAGTAATGACAAAACAATAATAAAATCACATCAAAAATACAGTAATAACAGTTGATGGCATCATCTGATTTTTCCATCTCCATCTGATCCTGTACAGATCTCCAAATGTGTGCAGATGGATGGTGGTTGATGCTGTCAGGGCAGGTGAAAGACATAGATTGTACCAGGCAAGCAGTGCAGGGAAGGGGAGGCCAAGTTAATATATCTTTGCCGCCTCAACCATAGGCCTAGTGGAAAATCTCCGTTTTTCAGGCCCTGAGGAACACATTAAGTCCTGCAGGACCTGGATCTCAATACGAAGAGTGTTCTACCAGGCTGGCACCAGAGCCAAGAGGCTCTGGTTGAGGCTAAGCGGACATCTTTAGGGCCGTGGACCACCAGCAGATCTTGGTCCACTGGGCATAATGCTCTTCTGGGAACATATTGTGAAAGACGGTCCTGCAGGTTTGTTGGTCCCAGACCACATAAGGCTTTAAAGGTCAAAACCAAAACCTTGAACCTGTTCTGGTACTCAGTCGGGAGCCAGTGCTGCTGACAGAGCACCTGATGTATGTGTGCTATTAACGGTGACACAATCCTAAATACCAGTGAGTTCAATGGGATTTAGTTCAGAGAAAACACAACAAAGTGGTGGTAAATGGTTGAATAGGTAAGACTGGAGCTGGGCCAGAGAGCCATGGGGATGGTAGAGGGAGGAAGGAAGGATGTTCCTTCTTTTAAATAGTCCTGTAGGATCCCTTTAGCTCAGTCCACAGATACTCACATGCAGCTGCACAGGAGGATGAATGCATTCACTGAATGCATGGTTAGATTTTTATTACTGGATGGGGTTGGAGAGCAAGGGAAATGGTAATTTTAGAAGGAGGACGCAGGCTCAAAAAGTTTGTGAAATGCTGCAGGAGGCTCAATGCATGCAAAAACTTTACTCCACATAGATAAATGGATTATCAAGCAGCATTGTCCAAGTTACATAAGTACAGAATTGAATTGAATCTGCTAGATAATGGAGACAATTTTGCTTCTGAAAGTAGTTAAAATAATGACATTATTATAAACCTAATTTACACTGCCCATTAATAATGGTTATATCATCTCTTAAATGTTAGAAAAACTGTTACCTGCTTCAACACGATAACATTCTAGAATATTAAGGAGAACAAATGGGTTTTCTTTTAATGAACTGGGGATAAAATGAAAACTGAATCCTTATATTTATCTTATGTGCCAATGAACACTGCCATTTAAAACTGGTCTTTAGAGAAGCACCAAAGTTCCTGTCCCTTGTAAAGTTGATCTCTGTAGCATTCAGTATGTTTTGCTTTCTTTGTCCATTCTTATTACTACTTCCTTCTTACTGCATGGCACACAATAGCCAATCAGTTACTCACAGCACTTCAAGAGAATCAAATGAGTGGATGATGATGAACTGTTAATAATAAATTGATAATGAAATAGTGAAGTATTTTCACTCATTTGGTATTCAAAACTTGATAAAATAAGTGTCGCCAAGTATTTTACATGTTTATACAGGAAGAGAGTAAAGTCCCCTCCTTTCGTAATCCAAGGCTTCTTTTGGGCATTCATTTCAGCAATTGGTTCTACTTCTCTGTGGAGACTCAAAGAAATATGCTTAAACATAATTTACCTAGTGCATGATTTTTCTTCAGGATACTGTTACAACATGCCCTTGCGGGAAGGAAGCCATCCACAGATACGAACAAATCCTGAGTCGGTTTGAAAGGGTAAATGTGTTTTCACTTTGTAATTTAGCTACTGGAAATGCAAGAGATCTCTTGTGCTGGTAGCCTAGTTTTGTATGACAAGTGGTATCAGGCTGATCTGGAACCCTCTCCAGGAAAACATGTCTAAAAATCTTTTGTTCTACAGCTTTCATGTAGCATCCAAAAACCTCTAGCACAGCTTTTTCCTTCATTACAGCTAGCAGCCAGGAATCTTTCATTGGCATGAACATGCGCGTTAACAGCCAAGTCAGGCCCACCCATAGAGGCAAAGTAAGCAAAGACATAGGGGATAAAAGTCCCCGGTTGTTTCCCTCAAATGTATTTAAATCAGAGAGAGAGAGATGCTGCCTGTGCTGGACAATTTCACAGCAGTCGGGTTAGAGATCCCCAGAGCCTGTGCGGTGGAGTGATTCTCAGGTTAGGGTCTGGGAGACCCAGGTTTAATTTCTGCTCTGCTATGGAAGGTTACTGGGTGACCTTGGGCTACTTACACCCCCTCAGCCTAACCTTCTTCACAGCATTGTGAGGATAAAATAGAGAAGGGAAACATATAGGACACACACACCCGGTTAAAGTATCCTATATGAGAAGGGAAAAAAGGGACTAAGGTACCAGGTCCACTCCTGATCTGAGCAGAAGATCCAATGGACAAGCGTGAGGCTGGGCTTGAGCTGTCATAATTCTGCTTGTACACCCTTAACTTTCATTATACCCATACTGGCCATGTGAAAAGGCTAACTTTGTATGTGCTTAGATTGAATTTACGTTTTGGAGCATGCTCAAAGGCTTTTTCCTCAGAATTGTGAAACGAAGTGCAGTTTTGAAATCCTTGGCACTCATGGCTCAGATGTAATGAGATTTTGTGGTTAACAATAGATTTTAACATTGGAGGAGGACTTCTTTTTAGAGTGCTTTTTTGTTGGATGCCTGCAGAGGTCACAACTGTACACTATTCCTTTTAAAATAAGAACCATAGGCTAATGGCTACAACAAACAAGTATATACACAGACACACAATTCTCTGGTATGTTACATTAAGAATTAAGACACTGAAAAATTAAGACACTGAATTTTATGTTGTTGTACCAACAGATACGGGGTGAGAGCCAGCGAGTGGTAGTGGTTAAGAGTGGTGGATTCTAATCTGGGCAACCGGATTTGATTCCGCACTCCTCCACATGAAGCCAGCTGGGTGACCTTGGGTCAGTCACAGCTCTTTCAGAAGTCTCCCAGCCCCAAAAAATAAGTCTAGCTTGCCTCCTAGTGGTGCATAGCACTATAAGAGTTAGAACTTAAGGCTACCAGACAATACTCCCTCTAAACTGTGGAGTCTTGTGAGCAAAAATTCTACTTTGTGAGCTACTGGCATTAAACTTGTGAGCAAGCAATTTGGCTATTGCATAAATTAGTTTGCTCTGGAGCCATCCTTCCTGAGCTTAGACAAAAATGTGTGAGCCGGAGGCTAAAAAACTGTGAGCTAGCTCACACTAACTCAGTTTAGAGGGAACATTGCTGCCAGACATGTTTGGATCTCTGGGCTATACCATATACAATGCCATATGATAACATATGATAACTAATTAATTAATTAGATACAGGTGCAGTGCTGGAGACACTATAGACAGTATTATTTATTATCCATGCCAGCTTTTTCACTCAATGTTACTTAATTCTCCTGGTTTCACACTAACTCAGTTTAGAAGGAACATTGCTGCCAGACTACAGCCCCAATTTGTCCATGCATGTGCCATCATCCTTAGCATAATTTTTTTGAGCCGTCAAAGGGGACCATTCTGCCCTTTTTCTCCAACAAAAAAGCTGGTTAGATTCAGCCCATAATTGTTCTATCCTCTTCCAGATGGAATCCCATTCTGCAGCCCTGAAAGCACTTGGAGAGCTAGACATCCTTTTAGATTGGATTGACAAGACTGAATTGAAAAGCACAGGCACAGGAATGGGCATTACAGCAGAACTGAATCGAACTCAAGTCTAGAACTTGCACCTAGAAATATCTGCACGACTACTGATGCTGAATTTCTGCTGATTCAGTGCCAGATATTTGATGTTGGCATTTGACATCTGAAAGTACTTACTATTGGATATCCAATATTGTATAATTAACTTAAATAGTATTTGATATTTTTCTTCCATCATATGACATTTCATAATATGTAGTAGATATGACTTTGGATCCAAGATTCCATTCTTCGTGTCATTGGAGCAGGGCTTCTTGTGCCAAAGGAAGGAACAACATCATAGGATCCAACAAGGAACAGGATCATAGGATTCCAACTCTTTGTAATGTTGATTTATATTGTTGTTGTTACATTAACATACAATATTAAATATGTTGCAACCACCTATAAGGGGTTTCTGGTATGCTTCATTAGTGTATTATTATAGTGTTCCGTGTTTTAGTACTATTGTAACAGGCTTTTATTAATGTAATTGCAAAGATATTGGCTTTATGAGTATATCTTTCTGTATTTCCGTAAACCTGTACTTCATTCCTTAATGTTGTATCTTATAGACATGTTTAACGATGTCTGTGGGGCAAGTTTTTAAGATTTTGCTGGGAGTCTCTACGAGATTTACAGTGAGATCCTAAACAATGATACCCTTGTAAGCTCATTGACTTCAATGGATTTAGAAAGTTATAACTCTATTTAGGATTGCACTATTAATAATCTTTGTTTCTGCGTGGTACATTTTTATTGTTCGGTTTGGTCAGTTCATGTGTTTCTATCTGGATGGCATGCATATTTTTAAAATCTACTTAATCACACCAACAAAACCATTCCTG